GCAGGAGCAGCTGATGAGTTCAGGCCCTAAGGAGATATGCCTGCTGAACCCTAAACCCTAAACCCTAAACCCTAGCGAGGGTTTAGCTGTTTTGGGGGTTTGGACTGAACGATGCTTTTGTTTGTCTCTAATAGGCGTCATACATGCAAACCCTAAACCCTAAACCCTAAACCCTAAACCCTCGTTACTCAGGTGTATCTGCAGATGCTGCTGCTTGGAGCTTCTCCTCTCTGTCTATAAGCAGGTTTAGGGTTTAGGGTTTAGGGTTTAGGGTTTAGGGTTTAGGGTTTGGTGTTAGGGTTTAGGGTTTAGCTTTAGGGCTTATGGTTCGGCACTCGGGTCTAGGGTTTAGTCTTTAGAGCTAGGGTTTAGGGTTTGGCCCTAGGGTTTAGGGTTTAGGGTTTAGGGTTTAGCCCTAGGGTTTAGGGTTTAGGGTTTAGGGTTTACCCTGAAGCAATATGTAGCTGCAGCAACCCCAGCAGCAACGAAGAGAAAACTAGACCCCCATCCTAAACCCTAAACCCTAAACCCTCGCTGCAGCTGTCCCCAGCTAGCTACAGCTAGCCACGCTCCTGTGCAGCTGGCTAGCTGTAAACCCTAAACCCTAAACCCTAGAACCCAGCTAGCTGTAGCTAGCTGCAGCTAGCTGCAGAGCCGAAGGTGTACAGACACTGGAGGCTGCCTTGGGCCCCCTGCTGCATCCTACTGAAACCCTAAACCCTCACTAAACCCTAAACCCTCGATAAACCCTAAACCCTCGCTAAACCCTAAACCCTCGATAACCCTAAACCCTAAGCCGTAAACCCTAGAAGCCCGCTAAACAAAACGAACCCTTAAACGCTGAACAAAAACAAATATAAGAACCAAAGCAAAATATCTAGGGTTTAGGGTTTAGGGTTTAGGGTTCAGGGTATAGAAGAGGGGGGCCCCCAACTAAACCCTAAACCCTAAACCGGGGGCCCCCCTGCTCCGCAGGGGCCCCCCAACTGCAATTGTTTTTTTTTGTATTTTTAGGGTTTAGAATTTGTTTGATGATTGTACTTAGGGTTTAGGGTTTAGGGTTTAGGGTTTAGGGTTTAACACCGTCTGTTGCTGTCGCCCCCCAATGATAGCAGCAGCAGCAACAGCAGCAGCAGCAGCAGCAGCAACAGCAACAGCAGCAGCAGCAGCAGCAGGCAGCACAAGAAGCAAACTTTTATATTTCTCTGCTGAAAAGGGAGAGAGCTTGCTGCTGTTGTATAGGGGGGCCCCCGGGGCCCCCCGATGCCTGGGGGCCCCCATGGGGGGCCCCCCACGGGGGGCCCCCCCTTTCAGTACCCTCTCAATCAGCTCAACAAAGCGGAATGTGTTTGCTGCAGCAGCAGCACATGAGGGGCCCCTGCAGCAGCAGCAGCAGCAGCAACAGCAACAGCAGCAACAGCAGCAGCAACAGCACCAGCAGCAGCAACAGCAGCAGCAGCAGCAGCAGCAGCAGTATGGGGTCCCACGGCCAGCGCCGTTGCCTTGGGGGCGGCATAAGCAGCTGCAGGCGATGCAGCAGCAGCAGCAGCAGCAGCAGCAGGAGCAGCAGCTGCGAGAGATGGTCCCTGAATGTCTGCAGCAGCAGCTTCCTCGTGCTGCAGCAAGAGCAGCAATTGCTGCTGCAGCGCAGCAGCAAACCCGCAGAGCTGGCCTCTTTAGGAGGGCCCCCAGACTCAGTGCTGCTGCTGTTGCTGTTGAGCTGCATGCGCTGGCTAGCAGCAGCAGCAGCAGCAGCAGCAGCAGCAGCAGCAGCAAGGCAGCAGCAGCAGACATACTTGTGGATAGTTACAGCAGCAGCAGCAGAACCGAAGCAGACTGGGAGGAGACAGGAGAGCTGCTGCTGCTGCTGCTGCAGCGGCAGCAGCAAATACTACATTCTGTCTCCCTGCAGCAGCTAGCTGTCTCCGTTGATGCTGTTGTCTCCTTTCCCCTGCAGCAGCTGCAGCAGCAGCAGCAGCAGCAGGTAGCAGCATGCATGCGCTCTCTAGCGGATAGAGCGACGCTGCTGCTGCTGCAGCAGAGCTCAGCAGCAGCAGCACCAGCAGCACCAGCAGCAGCAGCAGCAGCAGCAGCAG